GATGACAAGTCTCCGTGGGCTTGTGTTGGCAGAGCAGCTCCAGGCCATGCCTTTACCTGACCTGGGGATCCTGGTTTCCCAGGGACCACATCCCACGATCTGCTTGGTTAGTTGGGAGAGTAAATGGCAATCCCACGCATGCCCAGGAGCAGCTCTGGTTCCTGCAGCGAAACTGTGTTAGAAGGAAGAAGCCGGAGGAGCCCCGTGCTGGGGCGGAAAGGTCTGCAGGCAGTTTGCCATCGTCTGCCTCCCCCAGAAATGCTGTCAAACAGCAAAACAGCTCTGTTGGGCAGCTGCCTGGTGGTTGTGTGTGGCTAACGAAGCCAGAGGAGCCCTGAGCAAAATGCTCGGCGTGAAGCCTCCTGCCAAGCAAAACGTCTGATTTCCACTTCTTGCCCGTCCTGCAGCCTGAATCAAGAGGGCAGAGACCACGAGGTGAATTTCAAGTGAAATCTGTACCAGTGTGCTGTTTGCATGCAAAGAAAAAAAGAGTATCTGCCAGCAAAATGTGTTTGCTGGAGCCCCCCAGGCCTCCCTCCTCCCCTGGGGGTGTTTTACCCCCCATGCATCCTGTGGTTTTCTCCCAGGCTGACACAGCATTGGGTGGGAGCGATGAGAGGGGAAATTGAGGCAGGCTGGAGCAGGGATGTAGGCAGGGATGCAGATTTAGTCCTACCGCCTCTCTCCATCCCGGCTCTTCATGGCAAAACTATTGTCGCTATTTCACCACAGCCTGGTGTGGAGATGCTCTTGGCCAGGAGGCCAAAGGCACTACCTCATGGCATGCAGCACTGGAGGCTCAGACAGTGCTGCAGAAAAGGGGTGAAAACACAGGAGGGGAAAAAGAGTGTAGGTTAGATGATAGCTGGAGCTGTGAGCTGTTCGGCTCAGGTGTAGCCCATGACAGCCCATCACCAGCTGTCTCAGGGCTGGGAGATGGAGGTGGGACCAGCCTGCACCTGGGAGCCGTGAGCAGGGATGCTGGGGGAGAGCACTGTGGATAACCCCATCCTGCTGCTGGGGCTGGGGGCAAAATGGCCCGGCCTTTCCCTGGCCTCCTTTTCCCTGGCAGAGCTGCTAAATAAATGTGTCCGGAGGGAACTGGAGCAGCTGCAATCAAGCAAGTGAGGAGCTCAGCTTGTTATTTAAGAGGCAGCTTTCCCGCTGCAGAGAGGAGCTGTGTAAGGTGTATGACTGCAGGGGCTTGCAAACCAGTGCACAGGTAAGGAGAGCCCCAAACATACCAGTATTTAAAACCTAATGGCTTTGACACCGAATTCCTGGTTCGGGGAGGCCTGGCAGGGTGGCACCCTGGCTTTTGGCATCTGGAGGCCAGATTCTGCTAGCTCCGTGCGCGGCAGCGACTCCCGCCAGCCCCGCTGCGGTCCGCGTCG